CCATATCTAATGAAATGCGATAGCCCTTTCAAGGTATAAACAAAATCGTATTCATAGTCGATCTTTTCCTGCATTTTTAAAACTTGGAACAAATGATCAACGTGCAAAGGTTCAAAGGCTGCCACCATGACCTCTAGCACTGCCAAGGCAGGTTTAAATTTCTCTCTTGATCCATAAACCCTTCTCAAGTAACTCTCGTATATACCGCCAATTGTTTTCGGAAGCTGGTTTAAGTCGATTTGATTGTTCCTGTCATCTTTCCAAAAATGGAACATCTCTTTCACAAACAGGAAATTTCCTTGACTTTGACTTAATAACTTGTTTGTCATAAAGGCAATTTCTTCACCACTGCTGAAGCCCAACATTACTTTCAGCTTAGCAAGAAAGGATGCATCTTCAAATAATTTGGTTGCAATAAAGATCTCAATGTCTTGCAAGTTCCTTACATCTGACGGAGACAAATATACTTTTCGAATCTTAGCGAAATGCTTCAATACAGTGGAGTCATTTCGCGAGGTCATTACAAGCGTTATCCATTTTGGAAGCCTGCTAAAAGTTTCTTCTATAAATTGAGCTATTGCAGTTCCACCGTCGTAAGTAGAGCACTCATCTAAGGCATCAATGACTATAAAAGAATCTCGAAGTTTATTTTTTAGCTGCCGTAATGGAACCACAACAGATTGTTCGAAGCAGTCGTAGGGATCTCGCAAACAACTTCGTTGAAGGATTTCAAGTATAAACGAACTGTTGGAAATCAACATCCCGTATTCTGGAACCCTTCTAGCCATCATGTGGACTAAATTACGTACAAGTCGACCGGGATCTTGCGTTGACTGGTCTGAATACCTGCATAAATGGTAACCAATGATTCTCTTGTGAATGAAAGGATTGGATGAACGGGAACAAATCAGCTGGGCGGTTAATGCAGATTTCCCTGTACCTGGCTCACCAACCACCACAACTCCCGTCACATTATGTTGTTCTCTCAAAAGTGACTCTAATTCTTGGTAGAGCCAATGACGTCCTGTGAAGCTTTCTCGGGCAGCATTTAGGTTCCTAGTAAAATTGAATTCCTTTGTGTTAAAAGGAACACTGCCAGTTTCCAAGGGACATCCTAACAAAGGAAGAAGATGATTACAATTGATGTCAGATCACTTCTGTAACGTATTTACCAAGGGTCTACCATAACGTCAGAATAACATTTCCTCTTTCACAGAAAAGCTAGCTTTCTAGATCGCGGTAGTAAACATGCGTCTGTAATATCTTTCAAAAGGAATTTTTTAAAAATTTTCTTCTAGGAATATGGAACTCTCTTACGACAAATCCGTCTTTAAATGACCTTGGGCATGTTTCCAATTAAGTGGAACTCGAGATTCGTGGGGGCGGGTGTGCCATGAACGCCGACTTGGCTAGCTATAAGCATTTCCTCTCTGCTTCGATCCTTCCCGAGCTTGCCAAGATAGACCAGGATGGCACCCGATACAATTTTCATACAGAGGATAGGTGAATACGTACTTAGGCTTCCTTGCGCAAATACAACCCATAAAACTGCGATACTTAAACAAACTACTGGTTGCCTTTTAACTTACCATCATTGTAGGAATTGTGGTTCAGACATTTTAAGCTTCCCATGAATACTATGACAACCATCCAAACCGCTAGAGAACGGGTGTTCAAGCTACGAAGGTTTGAGAGAATTTTGTGTTTGGTTTCCAAGAATGCACCCTTTGCAAGGTTAGAGACTTGCGTGGCATATGAAATATTCCGATTCCTTTCATCTTCCATTCTGTCTTCAATACTTTGCAAAAGCTTAAACATCTTGCTTTGTTTACGTTCTAAGGATGACAGTTTCTTTTGCACCTTTCTGCTGAAACTTGTGCAATTTCGCTTCAAGTCTTTGATTTCGTCCCCAATACCATCCAATTGACCATAAACTGTAACCTGGAAGTCAGCCAGTACCTTTCTCTCTACACTTTGCGCATCGAAGTTCTTTTCCATTAAACTTATCTCTGAAAGGGCTGCTTTGGCGTCATTGTCAGCAGCTAGCTCCGGATCCTGTAGGAGATTTCGGATATCTGTCAATGCATCTACCTTTTCTCCATCGGTGAGCTCCTGTCTTGCGGCATGCCCCCATTTTGTATTACGCATCTCTCGCACGGCATCAACAAGGTGTACTTGAACACGGAAATAAATGCACCAAAACATGAGGTTGGTTAACCCCGTGCAGTCAGTACTACTCGCGTCCACGATAGTAGCCTTACTAGGCCCTAAATCGGACATAAAAAGTTTAGCCACTTCCCAGTAACCTTGGATAGGATCTGTCCATTTGCTAGAGTCACTCTGGTGCCACTTGGGAGAATTAGGTTTTCCCCCTCTGTGGCACCTTGCAAGTTGTACAGCCCAGGCGCAAGAGTGTTTTGGAGGCCTTGTGCAAGTACAAGGGGGTGCAGTGGCGAGATTCACCAGTAAAGCTTGATGGAACGCTTTCATCTCCCTCTCCACGTAAGGCCTTAGACCATCGCACATCAGTGAGAGGGCATGGCCAACAGCCAACCAGTTCTGGTACTCTTTCCTCAAGATTTTAGATTGCCAGTCTGTTGCAGTTGAGTGCAAAACCATTTCAATTGTTTTCAGTCGAGGAAACAAGCTGGAGCTCCCTATTAAAGCAAATATTAATCAATACTCAAGTGAGCAGAAATAAAATGTGTACGGAGAAACGACATGAAGTACACATTCTAAATGAGAAAAACATAACATAACCCTAGTTGTTTACAGGGTGGATAACGCTATATTCCGGATAAATCGTTATCCAATGAATCGGCTGTCTTTTCTTTTTCTTATGGTGAACACGAGTCGCCTGAATGCAATGACGTAATTATTGTTCAGTTGGATAGGGTGCCATCCAATGAACAACCGGTCCTTGGATTAAATGCTTCCGGAAGTTTGCAACAGGGCAGTAAATTCTTTTGCGGTTTGATATCTCTTTTTGTTTCTTCCGTTCTCTTGGGTTTTTTTGAACCCCACGAAATTACAGTGAACGCGCCGAATTAATGAGCGTTCTCCCTCGTCGAACGCTAAAATATGAATAATTTTTTTTTTTAGATCTGATATAATATCTCTAAGGTGCGAAAGTGAATTCTTCTTAAAAACGTTTCAAAATTTACGGTTCTTCGTTGTTTTTGAACAACTAAAAGTCGTAATATCTCTATAAGAAAACAATATATTTGTACTTAGAAATCGAAAAAGCTAGAAAAAGGCTCAGGCACCGTTTAAAATCACGGCGGTGATTACCTGCTGTCGTCTACTAAAGAAAGGGGTGGAAAATGATATAATTTGTGATCATCCTGAATTCGGTACAAAGTATTATTTTGTTGGCACGGAGTAGAGGGTTGGGGGTAGGTTTGAGGCTTGGCGTGTCCATTGGGATAAAATTTTGGATTGAGTTCTCGTTAGCAGCATGAAACATCATACGGCAAGCCCTCGCCGCACCCATACGTCAAGTTATTTTCTTTTTTTTTTTTTCGTTATTTCGCAGTAATGTACTAATATAGGGTTTCGTTATATTTTATGGTTTAGTGATGGTTTAAATAATTTATTTGCTGTAAGATCCTACATATCACCAATTAGGCTTTGGCGAATAATTGTTAAGTGTTTGTGTACTGGACGATAAAATTAGAATACCCTGAAACCAAAGGACGATGATAGATCATCGTCTCGTGCCTAAAACCCTAAGGGTGGCGCCACTGCCATGGTCTGGTTGACACTTGGCCCGTTTTCTCCACCTGCTGGGGCCAGTTGCTCGAAGGGTGGATGACGCTATCCTTCTGATAAATCGCTTTCCACAGGATAAGAGTTGGTAAAGCAAACTACGCTATCCACTGGATAGTGATTTATCCGGTAGATCGATAGCGTTATACACCCTTTGAGTAACCGGGGCCTGATTTACAAGGGTTTAAAAGGGGAAAAGTGTGAGATAATTTCAGAAAAAGGATGTCAGTAACGTACAGCTCTGACAAATGGTAGTCAACGCAACAATCAAATACCCTGAAGTGTATAAGTATATGTATAAATAAGTTAAGTCTTGCTTAGCAAAAAAGTACTCAGTGCTTTAAAGCAGAGTTATAGTATACAGAAAAAAAAATCAGAGGATATTTAGTTGGTTGTTGTTTTGAGTTTCGCGCCTTGAGGCGATCAAAAATAAATGTAAATATCATTAGACAGAGCACTGTCTTAAATGATCCCGTGCGACCACTCTTGAAGATTTTGTGGTAGTTTTGTCTCTTATGGTTTAACTTACAAAAAGAACTAACTTATACAGTAAAGAACATTTTTCTTTCTTCCTTCTTTCTTGAAACCTTCAGGCTTTAATAAACGAAAAATCGGCTTCAATCGAAACTGTACCCATTAAGTTTGCGGTGCCCGGCCTTCCTGTTCATAATCAACGCATTTTGATCTCCGATTTCGGTTGATTCATTCTGTTTCCAAATAAATATGAAAATTTAACAAAAAGATTCCATGTTGACGTGCGTCTGTTCAGTAACAGATCACAGATGACATCAAAACGTGGTAAGAACAAAAAAGTGGCACAAGAGGCGATAGCCGAGTGTGTCACTGATGTTCTGATCACATTTTGAACTCCTTTGTGATCCATTACTGAACAAACGCGCGGCAACATGGAATCTATTTGTTTTATATAATTAAAAAAAACCCAAACCACTACAGAAAAGGCTTTTTATTTCAAAATCTTACAACCTAACTCGAAAGCCGGGCCTTTGCCCACTCCGGACAAACACGAAAATAGCAATTTGACGTAATCTATAGTTGCTATGAGTATCAAAGAATTGTGATTGTTTCAGGGAAATCACGCCGCTGTCACACTTAAACGAATACAGTGTCGCTTGTGGAATGAAAACTTACAGCGAAAAAAGAATTGAACTGTGAAATTCACAAAGTTTACAGAAGAATGCTGGAAAATTCACGTCCGTTTCCGTTTTCGAGCACCCCTGTGAGCTGAAAAACCTGGACGCTGGCTTGAATATTGCAGGAGTTAAAAAATACGCTCGGAAAACTTGCGGTTGACGTCAACATCACCACGTTGGAGGCCATTAAATTCGAGTTTTCATGATCAATGAAAGGAGCGTTATTGACGGTGGAAATTTGTGTCCTCTGTGGTTGGTGACCCTCAGGTGCATTTGAGATAGTGCCGGAGACACTTTCTAGCTGCGATAAGGGTGCTTCTTATATAATTACGAAGGCTTTAGCTGCTTCAAATTTGTAAAATACGGTCACTGGGCGACTTCTGGACAGGACGCCACAGTTATCGGTCCTATAATCACAACGCCTTAACAGGACCCGTCCTACAACAAGCCAACAGGAATTTAGTCATATTAGATGAAGAGTGACAGCACCCGTTTGGAATGTGTGGGTAATCAGTTATGACTTTGTAGGCATTGGCCTTATTGGAAGATGGCATTTTTTACGATCACTGCAGAAATTCTCGTGCGCTCATTGACTAAATTTTATTGTCAGTAGGCGGACAGACAGATGATTTTATAATTTATGCGATGCGTCAACGAGCGAGAGCGGACAATTTGACAATTTGTTATCGTAAAAAACAAATTGACATCAGTTTTTCATGCGTCTGTCCTGATATTGACAATAAATTTCACCATAACGTTGTCAAAGCAGTCTGCGGATCCACTCGGTTATCGCCTCGTGGATTCACAGCGACAATGTTGTGACGAAATTTATGATCAATAACAGGACAGACGCAGGAAAAACTGACGTCAATTTGTTAAATTGGTATAGCTATGGGTGATCTGGCGCCTGTCCGATATAGTTAGTTTTCTAGAATTATGAATTGTATGGGTTTAAACCCCGCTTTACTTTGGAGTGTTTCTTATTTTGTAATTTCAGATACTTAGTTCAAGCGGAGCTTGGGAACCCTGCCTGGTTTCGTCCTCACCAAATTTTCGCCAAATCGTGAGCGTGATGTTACAGTCCCGAGCGAACTCTACAACTAAAGCCTACCTTTGGGTCATCAAAAGGTTTTTAGAGTGGTGTAAGAGTAAGAAGCTGTTTAAAAAGTGTTCAACTACCTTTTCCCGTAAGCACAGTACCATTTTATTTATTTGAAAGCCATCAGTCCTATGCTTCAAGCGCTTCTTTAATCCAAGCTTATGCTGCGTTTAAATGGTTTCACTCGTTTGTGCCTAGCCTCGACCGTAATCCTTGTGATAGTGAGGTTTGTAAGAATATAATTGAGACGGCAAAACGCACCAAATCTAAACCAATTGCCAGGAAGAAACCAGTTTACCTTCAGATTATTAAAGACATTCTAGATGCTTATATAATGAGGAAGATGCTGATTTATAAGATGTTAGGATAGCTACCTTAAGTTCGTTAGCTTTTGCCGGATTTTTTCGTTATGAATGATTTGTGCACTATTGCTCCCAACCATATCGAATTCGTAGTCAGTACATAAAGATTTTTGTACCTCGTAGTAAGACTGACGTTTATAGGGAGGGTAACTATGTCTATATGAGTGCATCGAGAACCGCAGTCGATACTGCCCTGTCTGTGTTCTAAGAAAGAATATGAATCTAGCTGGTATTCATGATAAAAGTAATCTGCCTTTGTTCAGGCCTCTGGTTTTTCATAGTAATTCTAGTTATACTCTAAGATATGGAAAAATCTCCTACACTTCATGTAGAGAAATCCTGAGGGATTCCTTAAAACAACTGGGTTTCAACCACGATGACCACGGTCTCCATAGCTTAAGATCAGGTGAGATAACATCCGTTGTTCGTAGCAGTTGTAATTCACTTTCGGAAAGACTGTTGAAGTTGCATGGCAGATGGAAGACGGACGCTGCCGAGGATATGTAAGTTGAGGAAAGAGTCATGATAATAGGCTACAAGTAACAAAGTTTCTAGGGTTTTAATTTAGGTAGCTGTAGTATCCTGTATCAACTTATTACTTATAGTAAAAAAAATAATAAAACCAAGAATGATACGAAATTGTAAACGCCTAGCTTATTACTTATTGAAAAAAAAAAAGACTGAGACGATATTGTAAACGCTTAGCTTATTACTTATTGTAAAACAATAATAATTCATACGATTTGTAAACGCTTAGCTTAAGTACTTATTGTAAAAAAAAAGTGTAATGTAACTATACTATTAAACTGCATTTGGATCCGCTTGCAAATCCTACCATATTTCTTGTTTATTTGATTACTTTCGGGAATTGAAGGGTTAAATAATTCACGTTCGGTTGAGCGAAGCGAATTAGAACGTAAAAGAAACATGTTTGTTATAATAAGTCATCTATGCGTCTGTCCTCTAATAGATAATAGGTGAGAAGAACAATAATTTGACTTATTACATAAAGATAAAAAGACAAATTGACAAGTACTACATAGATAGACAAATAGATAAACAGACAAAAAGACACTTAGACAAATAGATATATAGGCAAATAGACAACTAGAGGAAATAGACAAATAGATAAATAGATAGATATATAAATAAATAGATAAATCGACAAATAAACAAATAGGCAAACGGAAAAACAGTCAAATAGGTAAATAAACAAATAGATAAATAGACAAATAAATACAAATACAAATAGATGAATTGACAAATACATAAACGGA